TTTGTCTCAGACCCAGGAATCTTGTTTCTTATACTAGCTCCCATGGCAGCCTAACTTGGGAGCTTTGAAGTAGGGTAAAATCATAGACCCTTTGCAGCCCCTTGACATAGTGTTTTCCTCCTCCTGCCATTTACTTGACTGTATACAGCATTTGTTTGCTTATATTTTTTCAACATGTTTTCTTATGCCAAATGCATTTTACAATAAAAGTATTTTGTGTGTAGTAAAGCACAACAAATACTGGGATTTATGCAAGTTTCTAAAATGTAGATGATACATTATGTATTTAATTGAGTAGGTAATATGTTTAATATTAAATTGTAGTGTAAGGCACAGAGTATGAATGGATGAACGTATATTCTTAAAATACCTTGTAGTTGTGTAACGTAAAATATTTATTGAGTTATGTTTTATACGTCATCTATTTCTTTCTCTTTTCAATAATAGCTTACATTTATTGGGCAATTACTGAGTGTCAGGCATGGATCATCTTATTTCTCTCAGTTATCCTAAGAAGATTTTTTGGTTCTTATTTTACAAAAGGGGAAATAGATTTATAAAAGGGCTGTATTGCTTGCCTAAAGATAATAAAATTGGCATTCAAACCCAGGTCCGTTTAATTCTCTAATCCGAGCTCTTTTTTTTTTTTTTTATCCTCAGCCGAGGACATTTTTCTCTTTTTTGTTCAGATAGAGTGGGAGGGAGAGAGAGGAAGAGAGAGAGAGAAACATTAACGTGAAAGGGACACATCGAGTGGCTACCACCCACATAACCCAGCCAGGGCCGGGAACAAACTGCAACAAAGGTACGTGCCCTTAGCAGGAACTGAACCCCGGTCTCTCTGGACTGCAGGTTGATGCGCTAACCACTAAGCCAAACCAGCCAGGGCTAATCCGAGCTCTTATCCACTATACCCTGCTATAAAATGGAGAAAAGGGAAAGGATTAAAAAAGTATAATGACTATATTGACTCACCTGGAGATATTTTTTTTAATCCTCACCCGAGGACATTTTTGTGTTTATCTTGAGATAGAGCTGGAGGGAGAGAGGTAGAAAGACAGGGAGAAACATCTACATGACAGAGACACATAGAGTGGCCACCACCCACTTGACCCCAACAGGGGCTGGGGACAAACTGCAACCAAGGTACATGCCCTTAGCTGGAACTGAACCCAGGACTCTCACCTGGAGCCTTTTTTTTTTTTTTTAATCCTCACCTGAGGACATTTTTCCATTTTTTGTTCAGATAGAGTGGGGGGGGGGGAGGAAGAGAGAGAGAGAGAGAGAGAGAGAGAGAGAGAGAGAGGAAGGAAGGAAGGAAGGAAGGAAGGAAGGAAGGAAGGAAGGAAGGAAGGAAGGAAGGAAGGAAGGAAGGAAGGTCAACGTGAAAGGGACACATTGAGTGGTCGCCACCCACGTGACCCAACCAGGACCGGGGACAAACTATAACCGAGGTACATGCCCTTAGTGGGAACCAAACCTGGGTCTCTCTGGACCGCAGGCTGACGCTCTTAACTGCTGAGCCAAACTGGCCAGGGCTCACCTGGAGATTTTTTAAATAACATGTAGTTTACATTAATGCTGTAGTCCTTCAATATTGATATGACATAAGTAATGCCAAGGTTCATTTACAAGTAGTCTCCCTTATCCATGGTTTTGCTTTTTATGGTTTCGCTTAACTATTGTCAACAGGAATCCAAAAATGTTAAATGGAAAACTCCAGAAATAAGCAAGTCATAAGTGTTAAGTTGTGGGTCATCACATTCTGTCCCCCTTGGGACATGACTCACCCCTTTGTCCTGTGGGGGAGGGGAGGGAATCCACATTTACATAAATCTTATTGCAGTGTATATTGATATAATTGTTTAATTTTATTATTAGTTTTTGATAATTCTTTTTACTGTATTGAATATATAACTCAAATTTAATTATAGGTATGTATTTATAGGGAAAACACAGTGCATATATTGTTTGGAACTCTCTGTGGTTTTAGGCACCCACTGCGGGTCTTGGACTGTGTCCCATGCAGATCAGAGTGGACTACTAGATTATGCTTATAATGAAATTCAGTAAATAACTCTTGTTAAAAGTAACTATGGCCCTGGCCGGTTTGGCTCAGTGGTTAGAGCGTTGGCCTGCAGTCCAGAGAGACCCAGGTTCGGTTCTCGCTAAGGGCATGTACCTCGGTTGCAGTTTGTCCTCGGTCCTGGTTGGTCGTGTGGGTGGCAGCCACTCGATGGGTCCCTTTCACGTCGATGTTTCTCTCTCTCTCTGTTCCTCTTTCTCTCTCTGTTCCTCTCTCTCCCTCCCACTCTACCTGAACAAAAAATGGAAAAATGTCCTCGGGTGAGGATAAAAAAAAAAAAAAGTAACTATGTTTACTCACAGCTTTTTATAAATATACAACAAAAAGTAAAGCAATATAGGAGCTAGTATTTCCACATCCCAAACCTGGGAAATTCTAAGTTGTTCCCACAGCAGTTGCAGCTCAGCCTCAGGGTGGTGAACGTTGCAATCTAAACTGAACATCATATGCAACTTCCTGAAGTAATATTCTACATGTTCCTGGAGGCCTGATAATGGCTACTGTGTGAACAGTGAATGTTCAGACTATCGGTAACTGTTTACCATTTGGGGCATTTTATTTATGTGGCTGTCTTTCATAGTGCAACATAGGTGTTTCAACTGGTTATGTATAGTGATGGAATTATTTCGGTGCTTAAATTACTAATAAATCCTGAAACAAAATGTCCTTAAATTATAAGATTATCTTTATGTTTTCTATCTCATTTATAAACAGTCACTTTGTTCCCCTCCCCTATTCCCAATCCCAAAGGAAAAGCATAATTTCGGGAGTTGTTTACGTTCAAAGTGTGTTTCTTAGGCAGGTTTAAGATGCTGGTTAACCTTGGAAGTGTAAGCTGGTGCTTAAAAGACATAGATAACTAAGAAGTGCATATTGGAGTCTCTCAGGATCATCAGTCCTGATGCTGCTTGGCTTTGTGCCGTGGACCACCACTGAGGCACTGTGCGACCCGTACACAACTCAGAAAAATTTGGTGCATTCAGCGTCTTATTTTGGTAGATTCACAGGAGAATTGTCCATTGGACATTAACAATTGCTGTATATTGCTTCAATGATTTAAAAATATTGTTTGACATTGTGTCTTGAACATATAACCTTTGTTTATCATTTCATTGATTGATGTCTGTGTTGCCAGCATACACATTCCTACTCTGAGTCTCTCAAATACATGATTAAAAATATAAAATTTTCTAATGGTGGACTCTCATATATAGGTGGTTTAATAAGTTCATGTATAAAATCATTGTTATCTAATTTATGTAGTAGAAAGAATAAACCTAACAATTTACATGTATACATTAATTGTATACATAAACTTCCAAGAAATAGATTAAATAAATTTTATTTAGTTATATTTGGAAATAACACTCCAGAAATTCCTTGTGTAGGCTTTGTTTTCATTAGCAAAGTATTGACAGAATATCTATTGGGTGCCAGACACTGTGGATCTAAACTGAAGCCCACAAGAGGCTCCTAGCCACTGCTTTTGGAAACTCCTAGCCTTTTCTAAATATTCTAATTTGGTTAAGAAGACCCTTAATGTCAGTCAGGCATGTTTATTATTCAAATGTTCCTGAGAAGGCAGCTTAACTGTTAGTGAACTCCCTAATGAAAAGACAATGACCACCATTATATATAAAATAAAGCATAGCCCCCCAGGTATGGTTGGGTTGGTTGAGCTTTATCCCATACACCAGGAGGTTGCTGGTTCAATTCCAGTTCAGGGCACATGCCTGGGTTGCAGGCTGGATCCCCAGTAGAGTTCGCACAGGGGGCACCCAATCAGTGTTTCTCTCTCATAGATGTTTCCATCTCTGTCTCTCTCCTGTCCTCTCTCTGAAATAAAATATAAATACATAAATAATTAAATAAGGTATATTCTTGGGTGACATTTTACTTATTTTTTAATGAACCATCACATTTATTCCACGTGGTATCTTTTGGAGGACCAGTATACTTACCCAATCCCTATTTATACATGTTGAAACATAATTTTTACAAAATACTGCCTTTGTAAAAGAAAGGATACCAAGGTGAGCATTGATTATGTTTCTGTGTGTGCCTCACCCTCTGCTTGGTCCTTCATTAACAGAAGTAAGCAGAAGTGGTTCTTTATAACTAAGATCTTTTTTAAAAAAATTTTTTTCTTTATTGATTTCAGGGAGAGAGAAACATCGATGAGAGAGAATATCGATTGGCTGCCTCCTGCATGCCCCCCTGGGGTTTGGCCCACAACCTTGACAGGGAATTGAACTGGTGACCTCTTGGTGCATGGGTCAATGCTCAGCCACTGAGCCACACTGGCTGGACTATAACTAAGATCTTAATGCCTCTACAGATAGTCAGTTGGCCCAGAGTAACTTTATGTGAAATTTCATAGGATGAAGGATTTGAGTCAGGGATTGTTCCTACTGCATATTCATTTTGCCAAGTTAGTGGAACTGACAAATGTGACTTCGCAGATTCTGGTAGTCATTAAGGATTATAATGGTCTCAACTGTTTAGAGTAGTAAAAATTTAAACATACATACTCAGTGTCATGTACATATATTTATTAATATAGTAATATACTATAACATTGTAGTAACATGCAGTTACTTCCTAAAATATTGACCAAAAAATGAAGTAAAAATGATAAGAAAGTTAGTATTAAGTAGAAGTTTTAATGTTTTTTTATTGCATTGGTATCTTGTTCACCTCCTGGGATATGATAAATCAGTTCACTATTGCTCTGAAATGTAACTTTTTATGTACACGTATCCATCTTATTATACGTCATCTTTCGTAGAGGAAAGACCTAATTATAACATGATTATAGTGCGTATTAGAGTCCACTTTTATCCCATTTTCTTTTATGTTATAGAAACTGATCTAACACAGTGTGCTTCTTTTTCTTTGTGTTGTGCTGTCTTAGGATGAGGATGGGACAGAAGACAACAGTCGTGTTGAACCTGTTGGACATGCCGACAGTGGTTTGGAGAATATACCCAACTTTTCTCTGGAGTAAGTTGCTGATGGTTTTAACTAAATTTGTAATATACTTGCAGCATCACTGAGAGCAGCAAGTGTTCCAAAAACAAGCGTTGCATTGGTTTGTTTTCCAAAGAGCATCTTTTATCTATTGTGCTAATTATCTAATGTAAAAAAGCTAGCATGGAAAATTCACATGTATCTGTTCTGAGTTTCATGCCTTGGCAAATACTTTTGAATTATATAAAATAGTGTTTGATTGAAAATATTTGCCATGTGTACAGCACTGCAACTGTTTTCAGATTGCTTTGTATGTCGGTATTTTGGTCCTTTGTTTGTTCTTCAACATAGCTAAATTTTAAAAAATTGTAAACATACTTACTTTACCGGAAAAACTAGTTGAATCATATAAACATTAGCTATTTTAGTATATATATTTTGATTTGAAAAAGTAGAACATCTCAACGTATTTGAAAATTAATAGATCGTAGGTTACGGACCTTGAACATGATTTTAAGTATAAAAGGACAAAGTAAAATTTTTTTATATTATCACAAGCGTGCAATTATCTTAAATATTGGCATGTTTAAATAGAAGGGGTTTTCAGGGAAGGGAGTCATTCTGAATTTTTTTCTTTTTCTTTGAATAAATGTTAGGAAATCTAGACATTAACATTTGAACTCTTAATTCTGTCTTCTTTTGGTCTACCAAGGGAAGGTTCTAAGAACTTCCTCAGTGAGATTAGGCAGTAGAATCAGATTATGTTTGGATATAGAGTAACCAGCACTCTCTAAGTATTTACTTTTAAGAAATACTTGCCATATCATAGTTCTTTTTAGAAAGAATGTAGAATAACAATAATTATTAATGCCAGCTACATTATTCTCAGTGGACAAACCAATCATTAAAAAATTTGTAAATGGCCCTGGCCGGTTTGGCTCAGCGTTTGAAGTGTTGGCCTGCGGACCAGAGAGTCCCAGGTTCCTTCCCGCTAGGGGCACGTACCAAAAGAAAATGTGTAAATGGTACTAATAGTATCTAAAATAGGATGTTATAAAATTCGATGAAAATATTTTACAAAATTAAAGTCCATTTAAATAGTGTTACTTTAATATGGCTAAATTTTTATTTTGTCCTAATTAGTATATATGATTAAATCTATGCACATATTTTTAGTTGTGTTTTGATTTGTGTGATACTCCTATTTTTATTTTTCTTTAGTCCTTGTCTTATACTACCAGGAAATTCATAGTATATAGGATGACCTGAGGTTTTTATTTAGGAAGATTAAGAATTGGCATTTTTCATTTTATAAAAATTATATTGTGACTTTTGTCAAATCCATTGATAATCATTTAAGGTTGTTGGGATTGCTTAAGCTAAACATTTAATTAAAATCCTATTTCCAAATATTGATTGTTAAATAGTACTGCTTAGATTTCTATGCAGTACACACACATACACACAGTCTACAAAGGAAGTAAAATATTATTTAAATGATTTACACATTTTACATTCTCTAAGTTACACCAACTTTTAGTAAACTTGGGCTTATTACATTAATAGTAAAGTATTTTAGTTATATAATAGAAGTAACTTCATGTTACTTTATATAAGTCGTTTCATTACTTTAAAGTTCATTTGCAAACACTTTTATGAAAATGGTTTGTTTTTTCATGAGTTTCATAACCTGCACTTGCAGTGATTTTAGAAGTGGTGACTTTAAATTGTTGTGGAATGGTGGGAGGTCGGGATTGCTGGATCACATTGGATTGTCATATGTCTGAAGGGGTACAAACTTTGACCTTATAATATTATTGAGTCAATGATATGCCATACTTAGGAGCTCTTTGTAAATTATAAAGTGCTCTATAGCTGCAACACTTTTATTCTTCATTGTCCTTGAAGTAGATATTGAGATGGAAATCTTTCAGTGGAAGTTTAGAGATTTGACTTGCAAAATGTGTACTTGTATACACAGAAGAGTGTGATCCGATAGAAATGGTTCTGTGTCATATTTAATGTAGTATTTCTGATGATTGCTCTCCCTGCATGCCATCAGACTAGTGTTCAGGTATGTAGTGTTTAATGTTGCCTTCATCACCATGCTTATATCCAGAATGTGTATGTACACATGTGTGTATGCTTGGTGGGATTTTTGTTTTGTTCTCTTTTTTTGTTTGTTATGTGTCTGTGTTGTATTTTTGTTTTGTTTTGTTGTGTTTCGGTTTGGTTTGTTTACAGTCCATGTTCATGCTCCCTCATTCATCATTGTCTCACAGCGATATGGTAAAGCTCGTACACGTCCCCAACGATGGAGGGCCTCTGGGAATCCATGTAGTGCCTTTCAGTGCTCGAGGCGGCAGGTAACGTATCTTGGAGGTTTTTAATTGAATCATAATGTGGAGTGTTTTATCTTCATTTATGCTCAGATTTAGAGTGGTGTTGATTTAGCATATGCTTAATGGAAATATTTTCATTTGGATCAACTCTCACTTCATTTGTACATATACATCATAATCACAGAAGGCACTTAAGCTGATGAAGAAATTGAGCATTCAAATTATCCTAATAATTTTGTTTTTCATTACATCCATGCAGACATTCTACTTTGCTGTAAATTGACGACAGAATTTAGAATCAGAATTCCAGATGAATTTGCAAAATTAAGGGAAAGAGCTTAAAGCTATTTTCTGGAAAAATTTATCCAATAAAAATTATCTAGATAACTTAGGTAGTGATTCATTTGAAATTATCTTTTATGTTTATTTAGTTCCTGAATTTTATAAGACTTTTATGATTATGTTTGACATTTTTAAAAGAAAGACAAGCCATAGATTTACTTCCTACCCTGTGGCTTTGGGCTCCTTCCCTTCAATGTCTGCACATTCAAATGTCAAAATTTTATATTGTTTGTTAATATGACTATTATTTTATAGACCATATATTCTTAAAAACTTAAAATGTTATATGAGTTTCTTTCATTCTGATACTTCTTTTCTGTGAAAGTGTTATTTCTTTGTTTTAATATATTCACATATTATGAATTGATTTTTCTGCTAGTGGTTGATGGGCTTTTGTCATGAACAAATGCTCTTCCCGAGGACATTATCTATGCACATTTACTTGTGATGTTTTATCACATCTTCTTTTATTTACCCATCTAGTGATTACACAGTGAAAAATATTTATGAAATATATGGCTTTATATTTTGAACTTCTATTTTTTATTATTATCATTTTATTTATTTACTTTAAGTTTCTTTACATGGAGAAGGGGAAGCTGAAAGGTTTCCTAGACCAGTGACTGAGAACTTAGAACATAGTTTAAACTCTGGCCAAGGAATTGCAAGCATCATGTGTTGTAAAAGACTGATACAAGCATGTTATTAAATTATCTATTTAGATTTTTAGATGGGTATTTGAACAATTGTACTATCTTTCTGGAACATCTTCTTAACAATGGGAAATCCAGATTTCATCTCTTTGGTAAAACACACACTTTATGGAATGTCTGGACAATGAAACTTTGATTTATCTAGAACTCGGCTGGAGTATGAGGCTTGAATGTTACTGTTGTATAACAAGTGAAATTCACCTTGAATTTGGAGGTAATGTTATATTGACAGAATTGTAGCTGCTTTCACTTTTTTCCTCTTCTTTTTTAACTTTGTTGTTGTTAATTCTCACCTGACGATATGTTTCCATTATTTTTTTTTTTTTTTTTTTTTTTTAGATAGAGTGGAAGGGAGGGAGGAAGAGAGAAAGAAACATTGATGTGAGAGAGACACATAAATTAGTTGCCTCCCACACAACCCCAACCTGGGCCAGGGATTGAACCCAAGACATTTCGGTCCCTGGGCCGGAGCTCTAATGGCTGAGCCAAAGCAGTCAGGACTTTTTTAACTTTTAAGCCCTAGAGAAGCATTGATATTTCTTCAAAGAACTTTTCAGTTAAACAAGCTGCATTGTTTTTCAAAATGTATCTTGTCTTTCCTTTAAAATATATAATTTTATTTTATTTATTTATTTATTTATTTTTAGGACACAGAGTTTTCTTTAATTATTGTTTTTGGGGAAGGGACACCACACTTCTACTCAATTAAGAGAAACATTTTTTTTTTTATCAGTACAGAGGTCTTCTTTTTACACTTATGATGCCATGAATTCACAGGGAATGGGCTCCAGCAGCTCAGGATCCTCTGCATTGGTTCTCACAAATGTGCTTCTCTGGGTGGAGCAGGCTGAGGCTTCAGGTGAACCCAGGTGCCTTTCTCTTTGGCTTCCTTCTTTTTTTCTGATCATTTTCCTTCACATGTTTCAGGAAGATATCTTGGCTCTTAGAGTGCTTGATCTGCTCAATACATACATTAATTCTCTTGGCAAGAATCTTGCCCTTAACTTGTTTGTTCACAACAATGCTCACTGCATGCTGGGTGACACTGTAGACTCTTCCAGTTTTGCCATGGTAACATTTGTGGGGCATTCCTTTTTGAACCGTGCCCATTCCCTTTATGTCCACAATATCACCTTTCTTATAGATGCACATGTATGTAGCCAAAGGAACAACTCCATGTTTTCTAAAAGGCCTAGAGAACATATAGCAGGTGCCTCTCCCCTTTCCCTTTGTGTTCGTCATTTTGGCGAATTGCTGGAAGATGGAGGTTCCAGCCGAGAAAAAGTAAAAAATATGATTTTAAATGATCTCAAAAATTAAATCTTTTTTTCCCCTTATATCATTAAGTAGAAAAATAAGATAAAATATATGGATTATAGCTTTCTAATATTAATATGTCTTTACCTGCCTGTGGAATATAATATAAATTATTACAAAGGAGACTTAATTGTTTATGTACCAGCTTTGAACCAGTATTTCAGTGACATGTTATTTTCTGTCATTTACCACGTTTCCTACGTCATTGTGAAAAGATAAAATAAGTTGGTGAAAGGCCTGAAGTAAAAGGGTAATAAGATAGAAAAATAAACCTACTCTTGCCCAGGCTCTGTGGGTTGAGTGTTGTCCCATGGACTGAGACGTCCCAGTTCCATTCCTGGTCAGGACACATGCTCGGGTTGCTGGTTGGATCCCTCATAGGGGTTGTGCAGGTGGCAGCTAGTTGATTGATGTATCTTTCTCACATTGATGTTTCTATCTCTCTCACCTTTCCTCTCTTTCTAAAAAACAAACAAACAATAAAAATATTTTTAGAAAAAAAGAAGAAAAAATAAACCTACCCTAGAATAATTTGAATGGAAAGCATTTCACAGACACCACCAGTTCCTGGTTATCATGGTGTTTAGTTTTGATATACAGAACACATTTAAGTAGACAAGTATCCCTTTGCAGAACTAGAAATTATTTTTCAGCCAAGTCATTTTTAATTCTTGATGATTTGACACTTAGTGAAGAAAGTCTGCAGCCTTCCTGTATAAGGGACAAAGAGATCAATAAAGTCAGACTCTTTATAAAATCTTTATAAGCATCACCAGTTTTGTATTGGGAAACAGAACAGAACTAATTTTTTTCCAAAGCCTGTGTTGCAGTTTTGTTTGTTTTTTAAGTTTTTTTTTTCTCTTTATTCATTTTAGAGAGAGAAAAAGGGAGAGGGAGAGAGATAGAAACATTGATAAGAGAGAAAGAATATCGATTGGCCGCCTCCTGCATGCCTCCCACTCAGGATCGCGCCCACAACCTGGGCATGTGCCCTGACTGGGAATTGAACTGGTGACATCTTGGTGCATGGGTTGATGCTCAACCACTGAGCCACATTGGCTGGGCCTGTGTTGCATTTTAAAGCTATCTTGTGGACTTGACAGTAACGGTATCACAGAGGTATGTTGATAGTGGGAGTGAAAATGCAGGTAGGCTGCTCAGATTCACAGATACCAATCTTTTTTTTTTTTTTCATCCTCACCCAAGGATATTTTTGCATATTTTGTTCAGATAGAGGGAGAGGGAGAGGGGGGGAGAGAGAGAGAGAGAGAGAGAGAGAAACATCAACGTGAAAGGGACCCATCCATCGAGTGGTTGCCACCTGCACAACCCTACCAGGGCCGGGGACAAACTGAAACTGAGGTATGTGCCCTTAGTGGAAACCGAACCCGGGTTTCTCTGGACTGCAGGCTGACGCTCTAACCGCTGAGCAAACCGGCCAGGGCATAGATACCAATCTTCAGGAGCCAGAAACACCCACCTCCCTTGTTCTCAGAAATGCTTACAGGTGGACTCTTCATTCAGTTAGATACATTTCCAAGCATTTAGCTTGTGGGAATTCCCTGTGTTAGGTGCTTGGAAACAAAGATGAACAGAACTTAGTCTTTCTTCAGAGATTTGCAGTGGAGGTGGAGTGATTACTAAGAAATCACACAATTATAATTATGTGATAAATGTTTTTTTTTTAAATCTTTATTGTTGGATGTAAAATGTATTACAGATGTTCCACATTTTTCCCCCATTGACCCCCTCCTCCCCACTCCCGCCCCACTCCCACCTTTTCCCACACTATTGTCTGTGTCCATTGGTTATGCATATAAGTTCTTTGGTTTATTTCTTCCCACCCCCCCAACCCCTTTCCCTTTGAGGTTTGTCAGTCTAGCAATGAATTTGTGCTTCTTAATCCCTTCACCTTTTTCACCCATTCCCCCAACCCCCCTCCCAACTGGCAACCAACAAAATGTTCTCTGTATCTATGAGAATGTTTCTGTACTTCCTGTTCATTTTGTTTGTAGATTCCATTGTTGGTAGATATGTATTCATTGCCATTTTGTTTGTTCATACATTTTATCTTTTTCTTCAAAAAGACCCTTCATCATTTCATATAATAACAGTTTGGTAGTGATGAACTCCATTAACTTTTTCTTGTCTGGGAAAGTTTTTATATGTCCATCGATTCTAAATGACAGCTTTGCAGGATAGAGTAATTTTGGTTGTAGGTTCTTGGTTTTCATCACTCTGAATATTTCTGGCCACTCCCTTCTGGCCTGCAAAGTTTCTTTTGAGAAATCAGCTGACAGCCTAATGGGTACTTCCTTGTAGGTAACTAGCTGCCTTTCTCTTGCTGCTTTTAAGATTTTCTCTTTGTCTTGAACCTTTTGCATTTTGATGATGATGTGTCTTGGTGTGGGCCACTTGGGGTTCATCTTGTTTGGGACTCTCTGTGCTTCCTGGACTTGTATGTCTGTTTCCTTCACCAAGTTAGGAAAGTTTTCTGCCATTATTGTTTCAAACAGGTTTTCGATTTCTTGTTCTCTCTCTTCTCTTTCCGGCACCCCCAAGATGCGAATGTTGGCATGCTTGAAGTTGTCCCAGAGGCTCCTTACACTCTCCTTATTTTTCTGGATTCATTTTCTTTTTGCTGTTCTGATT